AGATCAGCTAAGCACAGTGTAACACAAGAAAATGAATGACCATCGCTCTTGAAGGCAGGATACCACACAGGAACAAGATAACAGCATGGTTAAAAAAACATATCCTCGATGAAAGACTGATTCTGTCTCAATGAATTAACATCTACTCAACCCTGAACCCCCCCCCCCCTAAAAATTGTTGTTCAGGACTGCGCGCAACATGGTTACACATGCTTTCTACCTACTTGTCTACCATAGTAACCGTTGTTCTAGTCTACAAACAACATTTTTGTTCTAATTCATGAAACACTTCAATCGGGGACATTTCCAGGGACAGCTGTAGCCGGGGACAGGCCATCCAAAACGGAGACTGTCCCCAAAAATCAGGGACGTCTGGTCACCTTACTCTTAATGTTACCCACACAGTCCCCCTGAGAAAATTTGCTAGCCATTCTTGTGAGCATTTTCTTAAAAGCCATTTTTGATCTGAATATGAATATGAAATGAGAAAATAATTCATTGAACATTATTGAAGAGAGTACCAGCATAGAAAAACATCATCTTTCAGAGCCTTTGACTATTTTCCACTCAGCTTGATTGTTTTTTTCAACTGTCTCTCTTGTTCAAAAGTCAAAATATGAATGTTTCTCACCCCTGCGTCCTCAAAGCAAGCAAAAACTGTCATGAAGAGCAGCAGTTTTTCCACCAAATAATCATACTCCTCATCTTCCTTTCTTCTCCTTTGCCATAAGCAAAACATACTTACATAACATGCAAGCCAACTGCAGCTAACTCTAACAAGTTAAACTTGCAGGTTAACATTTTAAATAAACACAATCATGACCAAAGAGTGGTTATCATCAGCACAAAGACGTTAAGCAGTGACAATAATGTATTTTGAGCTGTAGAAGTTAGTGATGGACTGTATATCAAGTTAACACATGATACAGGACTAGTTTAGCTATAGCAGCTTAGCCATTTTTTACATCACCTTTACAGCTAAAGGCTAAAACATACAGGATGTGTATTTGGGGTGTGGCAGCAGCGCCACGTATCATGCAGCAAATAGGTTGCCATTCTAATCAATGCATCAAAGCAAACAGGATACCTATCAGCTCTGCCGCAGCATTGTATCAGAAGTGTATTGAGAGCAGCACTGCTAAAGATACGCAACAAGTCTATTTCTGCTGCTCTACACTTCCAATGCACGTAAATCCACACAGAGAAGATCGTTCTAGAGAGGAAGTCAAGCACAAAAACTACGCATGTCATCCGGTATTTCAAAATAAAACACCATATGTGGACTCCTGACTGTGTATCAGTTTGTGTAGATGAGAAATACTTCCTGGTTATGGATTTATCAGTAACACAGAACAATCCAATGGTCAGTCCCTGATCCATGTTGACCCCAACAGGACTTTTAACTACTAACTCTGTCTGAAGGTAACAGAACAGCATAAAGGAACATAGTTTACTTTATTAAACACAAGTAGACCTGCAAAACCAAAACTGTAAAATCACGTTGCTTTTTCACAGATAGTAGAGGCTCAACGGTCACTGAATTACATCCAAATTAGCAGGAAATAGACCACAGAAAGGCAGAACAACCTGTTGTGAGGATGTTGTTTTCTCTATACTGAGCCCAGCTGACCGGGGCTGCACTACGCTGCTGCCATGCCTCAAACACGCGTTTTGTATGCAATACCAAATGCTGCTCCACAGAGCAAATACGGAACATGCTCAATAGGGATCCTGTTTGTTTTCGGGTTAACACTCAAACATCTGCATTTAAGCTGGGGTTGAATGTGGATAGTAACTTTAATAATGTAAACAAAGCATTTCGCGTAGTCACCGTACAGTGACCTGCGAAATTCATCTTTTCAAAACTTTTTAGGAATGCCCTTTTCTTGTTGTTGAATGATATGGGTGTTGTGTTTTGGTAGTTTGGAGATGTCAATAAAAGCAGAGGGTTGTCAGTCAAAATAGGATTGGCTGTGGACTGTGAACAACTCAGTTAAAAATGCTTCAGACCTCAGTTTCATCTGTTCCTTGGGCCAAGTTTTGTGATAGTAATGAATATGTATTTTCACATGGATTTTGGTTGGTGTTAGTGGGACTCCAAACTTTGATAACAAGTTTTCATTTTCACTTCAAGTGCCAGAGTTTTCACAGACAAATTTGGCTATTTGTCTTCCCCTGTAGTACAAAAGTCTTTGCTTTTTCTTGTTATCTAAAATAAAAAACTACAACAGAACAGGTGGTTGGGAGATAACGGCTGTGACTTTGATTAAGTTGTGATGAAAAAAAAAATGAGAGGAAAAGAAAAGTGGTTTTTACCTGCTTGGAAGTCTTGAGACACAACAGATCTGATGAAACACGCGCCTCAAACAAACGATTTATATCTGGGAGTTTAACAGCCAAAGTTAGCAGCATTCATAATTTCATACAGGGCATAGAGACAGAGGCTAACTGAGCTTGTTGGCCTCAAACAGCATTATAGTAAATGCTTCAGGGCCAGTGAGGGGAACAAGCTAATTATGGATAGACTCTGTGTAAGAGCGACTCATGCTTCCATCCTTAATGAGGAAATTTGCATCTTCCATTAAATTGATGTATGTGTGCATACATCACATTACAGAACGTTTCATATGAACTGGAGGAGTGAATTTGTTGAAGTTCTACCTCCTACACAAGCCCCGAAAGATCAATTGGGCTGCCGTCTTAGGCATTTCTCTTTTCAAGCTCTAAGATATGAAAAATGACTGGAGTCGTGCAGAAGTTGTAACATAGTTGTAATTTTTACAGGTGTTTGTGTAAAAAAGATGCAACTTCATAGAAAAAAAAAAAAAAAAGCTCAGTCTCTACGTCACGAGCAACCCCAGCATCATCATCTACTTCTACAACCTCTGCATGTGATAAAGAAAAGCTATATCAGGTAATGTATAAATGAGAGTACAAACAAGCCAGTAAACAGTGTGAATCTAATTAAAAGATAATGTCAGCCATTTTGTCACAACTGTTTCCACCGCCACAGGCCTATCTCTTAGCCTGAGGGCTCTCTATCTGTGGAGGGCTATTCCTCTCTACTTGCAGGCTGTATCTTTAGTTGTGCTTCTTTCTCCTCTCTTTCACCTCGGCCTGTATCTCTCTGACTTGGTGGTATTTGTGCTAGATGTCATTGCTGGCTGTGCTGACCCAGGGTTTCTCTTTCTCTTACAGATCAAATATGCTGTTTAAACCTTTGAAGTGTGGAGAAGCAAACAGAAACAAGAATCACGAAACAAAAAAGTGTTTTAGTTTATATATGTGGTTTTCTGTAGCGATGACGAGCTTTCAATTTTAATAATTTCAATGCATGTTTTTTTCAAAGTAATCCTCAGTATAAAAACCAGGAACAGATATACAGTATATTGAAATTCAATGTCTAGAGTTCCCTGTGTTTTGCAACCTGCTGAAACCGCCTCCAGACTCCCATTCTCTTTGAGGATGGCTAGACTTAACACAAACATGTCTTTGCTGGAAGGATGATATTTCTGACAGGAGGATTGACCAGCCCTATCTCCACAGCAGCAACTGCACATTCAGAAGCAACATCACCCCACAAACTGGCCACTGGAGGGGAACTTGAAAGAACAGGAGGGGAAAGCACTGACGCACCTCTGAAGATGGTTCAGCATCGACCGCTGACAGCCCACTTCAAAGAGCTGGTTATGAACATGACAGGCAGCCAGCGCTACAGCCTTTGAATCCAGCGCACATTTTTATCAAGACTTTATGGTCTATTTAGGAGGCTTTTATTTTTTATTTTTGCAGCACTGGGAATTTGATTTGACTGTACATCTCATCGCTGACACGGTAACTCTTGCAGGTCTCTTCTTGATGTTGATATATATGGGACTTGCATTTTCATGAGTGCCTGATGTTATTCCACATGGCAGCCGTTGATATTAGTGCCTTTGATTCCTGAGGAGTTCTGAAGAAATGCTGCATGGAAAAAGCCCCCCAAGGCATGGGTTGTTTATTTGCCCAGAAATATATTAATTCAATCAATTTGCCTCCTCTCACACCTTGTGGAGAATTGCAATGGAGCAGATGGGTGCAGAGTAATCTCTGAAAAAAATCTAACGCCCCAAGACAAAATCTTGGCAAGTTTTATGTATGGGCATCATTTGGTAATTATGCAGCAAGAAACCCTGCAGTTTCAAAGGGAGAGGCTTGTTTGCTTTATATATAGGTATACATATAGATATATACACACACATATATATACATTGTATCTATAGGATACCGAAGCTCTGAAGCTAGTATTACTTGAACTCGAATGAACTCAAACACCTTCACTTAGATGTTCGCTGCTTGTGTCAAAGGTGAAACATCAAATGAAGGGTGATATCTTCAAATAGCTTATATTAATTTACATTTTATACAAGCATTACACAAAATAAAAACTAGAGATTTGTGATCACGTATAGATTGTAGCTCATTTGTAACAAATACACACAAAAGTATATCAAATTATAGGCCAATATTATACCCATAAATTTGAACAAGGGATGGTAAACATAGATACAGATCATTTTAACTCACAATACATGAGCATCACAGACTTACACCTTGAAATAGACTAAAACTCTGAATAGAAGTTTTTAGGAATAGAGGACTGTTGTTAGATTTACAAAGCACCAGATGTGACCGTGTCGTCTGAGGCTTGAAAGCTTCAAATCAAAGGCTTCATCTGCTAATTGCTAATTTAGATAAACGTCAAAGATTCCCTTTAGAGTGTATTTTAAAAGTTGTTTGAGCCATGTTTCATTTGTTAGAGTGGAGTAGGCACATTTATGACCTCTACTGTGGCCTGTTACCAGGTGGACCACCATGTGTTTTGGCTTTACTTTAGGGGAGCAGTTGTGCTTACAGAGTCAATACCCTTCACTTTTTTTTTTCTTTTAACTGCTTTAACAAACTTCTGATGGCTCCTCCTCGCAACTTAAACTGGATAATGGATTTCCTGGGGTTTTGAGGGGTTGAAATTGTTGGCCCTGTCTGAAGCGGTACACAGTTCATCTTATCATAGGAGCTTCTCCTAACAAGGGATTAGCTGACTGTTATCCTCTGTTAATTATAAACTTAAACATAAATACTCAAACAACTGCTTTTAAAAAACTACGTCTACATGAATAGGTTTGCAAAAGGATACAATACTCATTTTCCCAAAATAGATTTACTACAAGTCCTTCTTGCAATTTCCTTTTTCCTGATCATTGATTAAGAAAAATACAAAAACAATGACAAAAACAGGAAGAATATGGTGTAACCTTTCCAATCATGTTTCCACTTCATAAGTATTGCCCTTCTCTCTAACTAAAGTCACTCTCAAGATCACTGACGCTGTATCCAATTCTTTCACTCCATAAAATATCAGCCCCCCAGACACGGTCACAGAGGCTTGTTTGTATGAGAGGTTGCTGATACGTTTGAGCGTGAGGCCATGTGGGAGAGTGTATATCTGTATATGTGTGTGTGTGTGTGCCCGAACATGTGTTGTTGTGTGCGCTGAAGTGTCATCCCGCCCTGGAAAATGACTTATTAAAATGAAATTACGCCGTGCCCTGACCCATGGCAAACGGCATGAGCTGCAATTTGTCTAGCAGTTGAGCTGTGAATAAAATCTGATTGGCAATAATTTGGCTTTGCTGTTGATATAGCATCCCATCCTCCACATCTTTTCTTCTATCTGCTATCCCCTCTAACCCCCCCCCCAGCCTCCCTAGCCCCTTAGTCCCCTGCCTTATCGTAGATGTGTTGATCTAAGGGTGAAATATTACTGATTTAGTGATGTGGGGTCAGTGAGCAGAGCACTGGGATGACGGTAAGTGGGTGGTTGTGAGGTTGGGGAAGGATTTTATGAAGCAGGGAGAGCTGATGGTGATGTTAAATGCCAAGACTGACTGCTGAGCTCAAGTAAATGGTGACTGTCCATGTGTGTGTGTGGTGTGTGTGTGAGGGAGGTGGGTTTCTAAGGTGTGTAAAGCTGACCTGAGCTTGCTTGCCCATGTAGGCCAACGTCTTAGTCCACTGTCAAACTGTTAATCTAATTTGTGTGCATTTACTCCATGGCTGTGTAAATTATCATGGCTGAATAATGTATTTATTTGAAGAACATTTGCCATGGTCATCTATTTTTTTTGCACAAACTCAAAGCACTGACTCATTTCTTTCATTTGTCTCCTTTAATAAGTGTCTTTTTCCGATATGAAAATACACAAATATATATAATTAGAGGGGGAAATGCACACGTGTGATAGAGGGAATGATAGAGGTGGGTAATGGAGAGAGGGTGTTAAAGACCTCAGTGCAGCGGTGGCCTTGGACAGGTTGATGTAGTTGCAGCAATGAGCAGCTCATAAAAAGTGCTATCCGTAGGCTTTAGGAAGATATTCTATCTCTGTGCTGCTAACGGCACAGCCTAAAATCACCTGCTCCATCAAAGTCAGCGCCCCCCTCCATTACATAAAACACACTGGGAAAACAGCCGAGGAAACAATACAGCCGAGTGTGTGCAAGTGTGGTCCTGTTTGTGGGGAGACATTAGCTTTATTTAGCAGGGAATTGGGAGGCTCAGTGCGAGGCAGGTGGTAATGGAAGAATTTAAAAGATGGGATCGGAAACTTGATTTCACTTGACTGATTTCTCTGGAACAGGCACATGAATGTTTTCATTTATTGGGGATGCAGTTTTGATTCATGTTGTACTTTGTCATTGTTTGCAGCCCATTGCTATAAGGAAGATGTACTAATTGTCATTGTTTTTTAAATTTTTTCTGCCTTAAAAATGTATATATATGTATAATTTCTTTTGATTCAGTTGGCCAGAAAAACTTTTGAGACTCAATCCTCGGATCTGATTGATGTTATCTAAGGTTATTGCAATTTACCAATACTGACAATAAATGTCTTTTTTAAAAAATAAAATATTGACATCATACTTAACATATCCAAATTGTGATACAGAGAGTTCCAAGCAGTGGTCCTTTGGGCTGGTGTCCACTGGTTGCAAACCAGAGGATAGACCAAGAAGAAGTAGGAGACTTCGAGTGAGCTAGCTGGAGCAGCTTTCTGAAAGATGATTCGCCACTTTTAAAAAAGGATTGAAGAAATGCACTGCTTCTTTCTTGTCTTGCCTCTCCTTAATAAGACTAATTCTATATATTGGGATAATATTGCTATCACAATATTTTAAGGGCCGGGATCATCTTGAGGTGAAAATCTGGTATTGTAATAACTCTAATGTCATTCACTGGTGTCTGAAAAGGTGTAATAGTCCATAGAGACCCAGTGATTTTTTATTGTTGTTGGAACATTCAAAAGACCTCTTCAGCCAGTATTGAAAAGATACAAAAAAATTGATCATAGTATAAGTTTTTATTCAACTTTTATTTGTAAAAATTGTTTCAGTGTCTGGGCTAAGATCCTTTATTATGTAATATTCTAATCAAATTTTCTCTGGGGGATAAATAAAGTTCTTATCTTAAGGTGGGAAATCAGCTCTGTTACAAGAACAATCCCACATTCGCACACACATATTGCTTTTCAAGCTACATCTAATGAATATAGTGAAGTGATTATAAAAGCGATATACATGATTTTGAATCAAATACACAATATGTATGCTAGTCCAGCATTCGTTGCAGTCTGTCTGTACTGCACAGCTTGTTGTCCTTGTTACATATTCATCAAAAAGTTAGCATCTAAATATTTTTTTGCCATCATAATTAAAGCTGAAGGGTTCAGGTGCCTGAGTATTGCTTTGTTTTTTAACTTAGTACAAGGGTTGGGTACCATTTCAATTTAATCGATTTGAATCCCAAATGTGATTCAAACCAGTTTTTCTTTGAGGCATATTTCAAGTAAGGATGTAAAAGCCACATGTAAAACTACAAATAACAGACGCAATTCAGGATGTGTTACATCCCTGGAAATAGTTACATTGGTTTTAAAGTCCATTCAAAACAGGTCTATAACTCTGTAAAAAAAAAAAAAAAAAAGCTGTCCCTTGGATCAACTCGCCCCTGTCATTTGAGCCAGCAGCAGATAAATTGCTCCAGTCATTGTGTTAAAGTAAAACTGAATATTTTATTGCTATTTATCAAAGCAAGACAAATCCAAGGCATCTATTAAACTTCAGACACCAGTTTTCTTAATTGAGGTCCATTTTCCAGTCAGAGCCAAACCAAGTTCAAACAAAAAAATGTCATTTATATAAACTGCACAAAGGCAAACTATGATTCAGCATGATTCTCTTCTCTTCTCAACTTTGTTGACTTGTTGCATCGTAACTGAGTTAATGTTGTGTCAGGGTAGCAGGTCCTGGTAGATACATGACTTCTGTGGACTACAAAATTCCCACTGAGGTTTAATCCTAAAAGATTTATGTTGCTGTTGAGAGCTGAAAAGGAGAACAGAAATTTAAGTGCCTTATCAAATCCACAAATCTCAGGAATGTAGAAACAGTCCCAAGTTGAAGCTAGTTTTTGACCCTTAAGTCTAACTATCGGCTGACCATGGGCTTTTTACTTTTGAGATGGTTCACTGACATACTACAAATCCAGCAACATAAAAATAAACACATTTTGGGGATCGGAGAGGAGGGCTCTGGACTAAAGTATTGCCAACACCAATTACGGATACATCACTGATAAAAGTTCAAAGTTTTACCAACATATTGTAGCTGACACAATCCATCATTTTCTGCACAGTAAGTAATTTTTGGAAAAGAATATTGAGGTGATGAAACTGTAATGGTATGATTTTTTTGTCATTAGAAATCTGACGTGGTTTCTATAACTCCAAAGTCAGTAGTTGTTGAGTACTGAAGGAAACCAAGGAAGAACACTCATGATCATTTCTTCATGGAAATGCAATCAGACAGAGACACAACGGCAGAAGAACTACCGTGTCTGCAGTGAAAAATGATTTATATGATGATTATTACTTCAAGGCATGATAAAGAAATGATCATAAATGTTATGAATATCCCTTTAAATAAACAAAAACCAATGTAAACGCAATGGAAAAAAAAACCAACAATCTTAAGATGTGTTTGCATGTACATGTAGGAAAAACAAGACCAACTTGTTAAGTTGCTGGGCATTGTCCATATGAGCACCAAGGTGCACAATTCCACTAAATGACTTTTTGTGTGGGCTCTTGGGAACACAGTGCTGTCAACCTTTAACAGCAACACATGGACCAAAGTCCTGCAGCCCCAATTAAGTGTAGAAACTGTGAAAAAAATATCAAAAACTATCTCTGCAGAAAGTGAAAAAGGAAGCACAAAAAGAATCAGTGTATAAACTAGCAGAGGCGTGTGTGTAATCATATACGTAGTTATTCATAAAGGTAAAAACTCATACAGGCACATACATGCATAGACTTCACTTGATGCAAAAAACAACATTAAATCTACTTAGCACACAATGCACATGAAGAGACAGAAAGACGTGAAACATATATTGTAAAGCATTAATGCTTACAATATATAGTTAACTGTTAACAGAGTCAGTTTTACATGGGTGTGTTCAGGATACAAACAACATTCTTAGTCATGCAACATCTCCTGCTTCTGTTTTAAGTCAAGACATTTTATCTTTTTCTGAAATGCCTTTCGGCAACTCAGCAGGGAGAAGGGAAAGAAGATGCATGCGCTGTACGCCAGCAACAGCAGCAGCAGCAACACAACAACAATGGTGGATTCTCCAAAAATAACAGTTTTGCTCTACCACTGTGTACCCAGTTATTGTATGCGAAGATGTGCAGATTGTGATTGTGAACTTTTAAAAAACACAGGCAAAGAAAATGTGCTCTGACTAAATGAAGCACACCAAGCAGCCCAAAACATAGAAGAACTCAAACCACGTAATGATTGCTTTGATTATGCCTCCTGAGGAAGGATGAAAATTTTATGTGTTTGCAGAAATCAGGTGTTTGCAGAGCAGCTGCTGGATGTCCATCAGAAAGCACCTTCAGAAAGCGTGTAATTGTGAACTGTAAACTTACAAATAATGATTCTGTAACCATCACTTTCATAACTTTGCCTAGAGTCAGGTTTTAACAGCCTCTGGGAGTAAAATCTCCCATCAGCACATGATATCTATACTGACCTGTGTGCACAAATTGCTTGCTTTAAAGCTCTGAAAGCTCCTTGCCTTAAATTAAGATATCATGCTTCTAAATGTCTTCCACCTACTTGAAACCATTTTCACTGACACTAACTATTTAGTGGTGAACCCCGATGACTCTTTTTAAGGTCGAGCTGCTGTCATCTGTCACATGACAATGGGGGCACTTTGCGTCTCTTCCTTAAGTCTTCCTCCAGAGACAGAGAACTTAAATTTCCTCTCCGAGCTAATAGAAATTTAACTCTGCCCATAACTCCGCTGAGTCCTCCAGGCTCGACACTCGGCAGAGCCCTGGAGGAAATAGCTTCAGATGTCATTTACTTTACTGTTCTCTTCTTATCTTTTTCATTTCTTCCCCCTTCCCTGCTCCCATATCTTTTCATGATGTTTGCTGTCATTGGCAGTGGCTTGAGTGGCCACGTTGTGGAAATATTGATTTCTTGCTCCCCTCTCCCCCACTTCTCTACAATCCCTCCTCCTTCTCTTTTCCCTGTGTTGCATCTGAGGCTTGGGGTTTGACGCACAACCAGCCCACTTCACGGGCAGCTCATCCCACTTTATCCCTCCACATCTTCATTTTTTTTGTTCTTCTGATTCTCCTTTCCTGTTCTGACGTACTTTGAGAGCACTTCTTTATATCGACCAGCTGAGGTGTGCCTGGATGGGGGAGTATCTGCCCAGCATAATTTCTTTGTTTCTTTACCCACATCCATCAAAGCAGCACGGGCTGTGTTCACGCGCTCGTCTTGCCGTTGACCTCAGTCACTGATGACTCCTTTCCTCTGACAGCACACAAATAACTGTAAACTTTTGCCATCATTGAGGTCATCACAAAGGGAAATGTCTTTTTGTGACAACTTTGCTTAACTTTGCAAGACAGAATCTTCGTTTCACACAAAAAGCGGCTGCTTAAAAAGGCTGTCTCAAAGAACGGCATATTATTAAAGGTGTAGTTCCCTTTTTTTTTAGGTGGCTTGAAACAGAAGTGTTGTTTACTTCGGGCACAAGAATACACCTTATCAGGGAAAAACGGAGCCCAACAGACCGAAGGAAAGAAGAGTGAAACTTCTGTGCTTACCAGAAAGCAAAAGAGATCCCAAGTTACCTGGTGGTGCAGGTGTGTAAACTGTGAGTCCGTGAACTGAGGGCTTCTGCTGTCATAAGTAGACCTTGCCAACAACAATACTGCACGGATTTCTAAACAGCAGACACACACAGCTGCAGTCTACATCTCTAACTCTCCAGAATTCTTTGGTGCGCTGAACACTGCTGCTTTTTAAGACTTGCTTCAATTTTTCAGAAGTTTTCTCAGAAACCAGAAAAGTAAATCTAGTTAGTTTATGGCTTTAACAGTTTTTAAGGGCATAATGACACAACCCACTGTCAGTCTGACATGTTTACTTTATCAAAATACACTTTGTTAGCTGAAAATAGTTAGACTGGGCTGAAATAAACTCTTCAGCCGTTACAAAGTATTACTCGTATAACTTGTTGCTAAAAGTGATGTCAAAGTGAGATGCAAAAATATCTAATTTCAGAATTTATCAGTGCACTGGGCAGAATTTTCCTTGATTCATTCTGCACAGACTCAACTGGCTGCTCATGGAAGAACATGTACATATCGTGTCCTTGAATAGTGCAAAAATAAATGAGTCTGAGTGCTAAATGACGTTGTCAACTTTACCCTGTCTGAAGCAGTCACACCGACTCTCTCTCACGCAGAATGCAGCCATTGAAGAAGTATCCTGAGAGTTTCGCTGTCACGCCATGCAGTGATGCTTTTTCCTCCATTGTTTTCAGTCTAGTCTTTGTAATCTAACTATCTCTTCAATAGGATGATAGGACGAGATAACAAAGTAAGTTCCAAGAAGTAGGAACACTGCATTTTACGCATAGACTGTATATCGTATGGACAGCGTCTGCCTCCTCGCTGGGTGAAGCCACCCCCAGAACAGCACCCTCTAGTGACGGGCTGCAGTATAGGTCATAAATCCCGCCTTCTCCAGCAAAGCTTATGGGGCTGTGAAAAACATAAGAATTTTATTACACATGATATAAATTTTCTCCTGCCGAATGTGTACAATGCTACTGCGCAATGTTGTTTTCAGGAAATTGAGAAAAGTCGCGGAAATACTTAGAGCTTTTCGGCTTCAAATCCGTATACTGGTGGAAAGCAGAATAGAGTTGTCCATAGTATGTACAGTCTATGATTTTAAGCAATCAGGAAAGAAATACAAGGGCCAAAATATTGCAAGCATAAGCAAGATTGTGTAAAACATTGCAGTTATTGGTCAAACTATCTTCACTTCGGAAAAGTAAAACTGCACAAAACCTACAACAGCCGATTAATTAATTAATGTATCAGATTTCATATAGCACCTTATCAGAGACCCTCAAAGCATTTTACATTGGATACATCATTCATCCGCTCACACAGTTACACCATGGTGGTGGTAAACTACCTTAGCAGTCACAGCTGCCCTGCCAGACTGACGGAAATGTGGCTGCCAGTTTGTGCCTACAGCCTCTCAGGCCACTACCACACAACACTCACAATCATACACCAGTGCAGGACACACACACTAGGAGCAAAGTGGGTGAAGTGTCTTGCCCAAGGACACAACAGACAGACTAGGGATAGGAGGGAATCAAACTGCCAACCTTCCAGTTATTGGACGACCACTCTACCTCCTGAGCAACTGCC